CAAGATCACTGGCACACACAAAAAAAAGTGTTAAGTCGGGTATCTGGCTCACCCAGGCTAACATGCCCTGACAAAACAGGACAGAAGCATCTTGAAGTGGTGTTTCCTTGTGTCAAGGCTTGTAAAAGTGGGATGGTTGTTTTTCAAGTCAGCTTAGAAATTTTTGACTTAGGAAGATGGCAGTGCTGTTGGTCTTTTTATGGTTCAGGCATATCAACGAGCCATCTTTTTTTCTCCTAGAATTTCCCGTGAAAAGAAGTGTTAATTGTTTGTTTTTTGTATCTGGTCAGCTGTTCTCACTTCCATGTCTTGGGCAGATTAGGCCCTTGATAGTGGGCAGTCCTTCTTGAGAATCACACAGCCACTTCTTCATTTCATGACACACTGAAGTAGTCTGAAATCCCCCTTCAAGTGGCTCTGATTGATCACAGAGGCCCCAACAATCTACAGTAATAGATTTTGTGACAAAGCTCTGTGGAGAAGCACAGGTGTCCTTGGAAATGTTTAAAGAAGGCCAGCCTCTGTTTGGGAACTTTTAACGTACACATTTTGTGGTGGATGAAGACCACTTTGTTCTGTGTACGTTTCCCTCTGCAGGCCTGAGTGGGCTAAGAGAAGCTGGGGGATTTGTTTTGTCCCTCCTTGGGAGATGGGAATAGGACACTGAGGTTGAGCAGGGTGATATTCTTCTCAATAGTGGCATTGACATTACATAGAGTTACAAGTCTATTACATAGAGTTACAAGTCAATGACAAAGCTGTGACTGAAAATCTAACGTTTTTTTTTTTTTTTCCAAACATGGTTTTTATGCTTTTACAGACATCACAATAAGATCGGCAGTATTGTCGGAAGGCGGACCAGAGAGCTGGTTTCTGTGGAAACTCTGGACCTGAGCAATAATGACATCACTGAGCTGCGAGGGCACTGCTTTCCTTCCGGTCTCCAAATCAGAGACCTGTAAGTGTGATAGCTGAATATTACTGTGCCACACAAAGTAACAAACCAGTCTTTAAAAATGTTGATACTTAAGATGAAGTGGTAAATATGAATAGAAAAGTAAAACAAATGTATAGACACAGTGCACACAATAGTGCCCCAAACATTTGTATTCAAAGTACTTATGCCAACCCTGCAGAGTATGTTAATGAAAACATATTTACATACAAGTATGTAAAATAATTCTAGTGAGGTAGAACCATGGTCATTCATAAACACGTTTGAGGTTTCTTATGTCCCAATGTGCTGCATCTGTGTTCAGGTACCTGAGCAACAACAAGATCAGCGTCTTGGAGCTTGGAGCTCTGGACCATCTAGGCTCAACCTTACAGGTCCTGAGACTGAGTCGAAACCGCATCAGCCAGATCCCTGTGAAGGCCTTCCAGCTCCCGAGGCTCACCCAGCTGTGAGTACCACTGGATTTCATCAGTTTAACAACAGTTAGTGTGCTGACAAGGCTGTGTTTTTATCTGTGTGAACAGTTTGCCCTATAAAAACAATTTATTTTTTGAGAATGAGTTTCCCAGTTATAGTGTTTGGAGACATTTCAGAATTTAAAAGTGAGGAGAAGTTCATAGTTTGATGGAGTTCTGTGTTTTTAACATTTGGAAAGCTGTTACTGTGAGCTATACCTCAAGGGTGGATAAGGTCTGACTAGGTCAACACCAGAGCCACGGTCACTGTTATTTATCACCTCCTTCCATTTTCTAAGTCTCCTATCTTCATCAGACCTCCCTCTAGCATAACAGTGAGGTCAATCCATTTATAGATCAGCACCTCCATTCTGTGCAGAGACTCCTATAATGGGAGTGCCCCACTAGTTTCCCCAGGTGCCTTTTGTTGGAGAGGTCACCCCAGTGACATTGTATCTGCACATGCTCGTGGTGATTACACAAAAGAACCTGTGTGGATGTTTATCTTTGCCAACCTGACCGTCACACACACATACCAGGAACAGATTCAGCGTTGCATGCAAAGACAACTTAGACTTTATACTCAGAGAAGAACTGCAGTTTTTAAAATGTTTCCACCACAATCTTACAGTACCAATCTTTATACCTGTTCATTCCTCCCTCTAGTATCAGAATTAATTTAAAGGGTCAAAGCTCTGACCCCTGTTAATATGCTAAAGCCTGTGGGCATACAGCATTGGCCCCATGCCACAGGTGGAAAGGACACCACTGTGGAATGCCTGTTAAGCTGAGGGTTTGTCAGTGACAAAGTGCTCCAACTGAAGCATACAGGCTAGAAGATTATTTGGTTTTGACTTTGGTGTGATGGATGCTCATGTTGAATGGGGGCAAAACATTCCTCAGTCTAAAGAAAAAAGGGTTTTCCTGCTTTGAACTATTAGTAATATTTACAAAGTATGATAAAGTGTCTCATATTTTCTCCCATGATCACTTGTTAAATGTTTCCTGTGCTTGTCTGTCCACCCTGCAGTGAGCTGAACAGGAACCGTATCCGTCAGGTGGAAGGTCTGACCTTCCAGGGTCTGTCCAGCTTGGAGGTGCTCAAGCTGCAAAGGAACAACATCAGCAAACTGACTGATGGGGCGTTCTGGGACCTGGCAAAGATGAAAGTCCTGTGTGTAAAACAGCTTAGATATAAACATAATACTACATTTATTTTCAGAAATGCTGCTACAAATGTAGTCACTTTATGGTGTAATAATACCACTCACCTCATGACATGTTGCCTGCAAACCACTGGTCTTTGAATTCTCACAATGATAATACCTACATTACTCAATTGTTTTCCCTGGCAGTCACCTGGAATATAACAGCCTGACAGAGGTGAACAGTGGCTCCCTTTATGGCCTGACTTCCCTTCAGCAACTGTTTCTCAGTAACAACTCTATAGCCCGCATCAATCCTGATGGATGGAAATTCTGCCAGAAGCTGAGGGAACTGTGAGTACCAGCATTTAAATGATCCTGAACACTGAAACACACCTTTCCAGCTGTCCCCATGCAAAAACATTTAGGCAGACAATGGTTACAGCTCCTAACTGCAATGGGAGAGTGATAAGGGCAGCAAAGAACTTTGTTTGGCTCAAATAAATAAAGGTTCTATATTTAAAACTTTGTACTAGCACCTTCTGTAGAATGACATTTAAATTATTTTACTGTTTTTGTCTGTCCTTGGAACTCTAACCCCTCTTGTCCTATAGAAGAACCTGAGAATCTAACACTCCCCACCCCCTCCCATATCACCCATCTACCTTCCCCAGGGTTAAATGACAGTGTGATTTAACACTCAATATGCTACACTATTCTCAGGATAAGCCTGTTGATCCCATAATTAGAGCCAGACTCAATAGCATTCAAGCCCTTCGACAAGAGTTTTTGTATTGAGTTGTGATGCACGAGGGCTTGGTAAACCAGTAAGTAATCTTCTGCCAGTTGTGTTATGGTAATTAAACTGAAGGACTGTCTTTGCATCCTTTGTCTACCGAATGAGGCGTTATTATCTGAGAGTCTTTCTTGTTCTGTTGACATGACTGGTATTGCTGTTGTAAAGAGCTTTGCTCAGCTGAGGCGTTGCTAACTGCGAGGTAGCCTGGGGTACCAGTGGCGCCTAGGTTTGTTTATGTGTAACAGTAAGAATGGATAAAGAGGTAGATGGCGTTCATGCTAGTTTGCCCTGTGTATCTAAATGCTTTTTCAGTGCCATCCCTGAATCATTCTCCCCAGTGCTACACTAGTCAAAGGTTATATGATTTTATTATCTAACATTATAATGACCCCAATGGCTGATAGAAGAGAGTGACTCATCTTTATGAGGAGCCTGTTATTACATTCCCAATGGGCCAGACTGAGCTGGTCATCAGAGAGAATCTGTGCACACATCACTGGTCAAGCAGACCTAAGGCTAAGTCACAGAGAGGGCAATAAAATGCACAATACTGTCCTTGACCACAGTTTGAAAGAGACCTCTGTGGGATTAATTGTAATTTATAATCAGGATTTATCAAGTGGTGTTATATACATGCTATGAAAGACTATTAAAACTTTAAAGTCTTCTTTTTCACTTGTTTCTCAACTAAAGTTCTCAACAAAAGTTTTATGAAGTCATCTTGTTACTAGCGGAGTTTTCTTTCTCTCCAAATTTTTAAAACCAGTGAAAGAGCTTGGAAGTCCATGTCATCCCATTTAGATTTGGGGGCTAGATATGAAAACAAGTAATATTTTGAGGGCTTCAGTACATGAATGACAGTATATTCTTGTGAGGTTTACCACATGCCTAAGTAGGTTAATAAATCGCGGTTGGAGACGCGTCAAGTTCCAACAAAGAATTTCTTTTCTTCTTTTCAACTCATTAGGATCTCAGTTGAGATGTAAGTTCTGCTAAGCTCATTCTCTGTTAAGAAAATGGCACAATGGAAAACATCACAGACTGGCAAACAGACAGTGAATCAGCCATGAAATTTAAGTAAAATGATGTGAGGAGCTGCCTTAGCATTCTGCCAACCTGTCATCATCTCCCAGACCTTACACAGAACATTCCTCTTTCTTATCCTCTTTTTCTCTCTGGCTCCATGTCCACCCCATCCTCTTTTCTGTTTGTCTCATACTGTCCTCCTCTTTCCAGGAATCTGTCGTACAACAACTTGTCTCGTCTGGATGAGGGCAGCCTGGCTGTGCTGGGGGATCTCCACACACTCCGTTTGGGCCACAATGCCATCAGCCACATCACCGAGGGAGCCTTCAGAGGCTTGAAGGCCGTACGCGTCCTGTAAGTATACTCACTTGACAGCCATTATCAAGCCTCAAGCGACCCTCAACAACCTACTCATTATGCTTTTGCTCCTGCTGACAATAAGGCTAAGATGGGCCTTGTGGGAGCAGTGAAATCTGAGGTGTTTAAAATTGGTTCTGCCTGTGTGATATTTGATATCTTGGCTTACATGGTCCCTTTAGTTGACTTTAGAAAGCGGGGGTTGTTTACTTTTCAACAAGGGCTTGGACTCATTGCCATTCATGTATGTTCATGAGTTCAACTTTTACGAGGTGTTCATAGATCACTATCATCATGGTTACTGCAGCTACGTCTTTTTTTTTTCTCACTCAGTTCCATTCGTCTGTCTTTGGTTTGGGGTTTTTGTTTGTCTTGACCGGTTCCCAACAAACTTGGATCTAAAAGTGTTCTGTGTCATTCATCTCCCTTGAGATCCATCCTTGCATTTAGAAGCCATGAATAAAGACAGAGGTTTCTTTTGCACAGAAATCCCAAACAGGCCTAAACAAAGAATAGGAGGGAATGAAAGGGGGAAAGTCAGGGGATAAATCCAGGATTGGGGGTCTTTGTTTCTAACCAAGGTCCTCTTGGCCTTGCCTCAGCCCAGAGAGAGCCAGAACTTGCTAGTCAGGCTCTCTCTCTCTCTCACAGTGAGGTGAGAAGCCAAGGCACATACTGGTGTTAGATAACTTGCTACAGAGGTTGGGACAAGGAGCTGAGCTTGTGACTACCTTATATCAGCTCTTTACCATTTTGGCTTTACCCTGTCAAAGCATGCTTAATGCCCATTTCGTCCCCTTTGTTTATCTTAAGTGTATTCTGGTATCTCCTCATGTTATCCTGCAATACGCACACTATCGCAGTCTTGATTTTGCCCAATCTTCTCTTTTCTGCTCTTGTACCACTCTTGCACTCAGTCTATGAGTCAGGCCTAATCTAATCAGTGCAGGGGAGAACAAGCATTGGCTCGGCCCTGAAAAGGAGCCAGGGGGAGTTTTAATTGGACCTGTGCTGCTGGTCATGCTGGCATGGGCTGGAGCCTGCACTGGGGTGTGGAAGCCAGCCTGCCCTTGAATTTGGCCACGGGGGTTGTTGGCTTATTAGGGCCCCACTTCTCTATGCCCAGTCTCCCTGCTTCACAGCCCCCACCACTGGCCTTGCTTTAACAAGGCAATGGCCATTCACATCCAGCCAGCCAGAAAGAGTGGGAAATTGGCAACCCCAGTCGAGTCAAACTAAGACAGTGACCAAAGAAGAATGAAAAGAATTGGAGGGGGATAAGAGACGCTTGGAAAGCAAACGAAGGAGGAATGGAGGGTGCTATTGTGGAGTTGGTGGAGGGTGTGGCTCACCATCAACCTCAAAGGCCTTTCTCAAGTTTGAAAGAAAGTCTTTTAATTAGGTCTGTCAATTGATTAAAATATTTAACTGCGAATAATCGCATGATTGTCTGTAGTTAACTCATGATGAATCACAAATTAATCACACCTTTATTTTTGACTTATTCAAACAGTTGTGGAAAGTAGCTAAGTACATTTACTCATGTACTGTACTTGATTACAATTTTGAGGTATCTGTACTTGAGTATTTTCATTTTCTGTTACTTCATACTTTGACTTCACTACATTTTAGAGGCAAATATTGTGCTTTACTCCACTACATTTATTTTATAACTGTTACTAGTTACCTTTCATAACCAGATTAATACAAAAAATACAGTGTAATTATGAAACTTCATGGATCTATGGTGGAAAATTCACAAGCTACCCAATAGTAATTCAAATTAAATGCATATAAGCTGGTTAAAACTAGCTCCCTCTTCACCAGCTGCAACATTAAATGTGATGTACACAATAATGCATCAGTTATTATAATACAATAATATGATATACAGAAATGTACCATTCTGCATGAGTACTTTTACTTTTAGTACTTTGCTGTTAATACTTTTGTACTTAAGTAGAAGTTTGAATGCAGGATGTTTACTTGTAACAGAGTATTTTTACACTGTTGTATTGCTACTTTTACTTAAGTAAAGGATGTGAGTACTTCTTCTACTGCTGGTTCTAAATGGGACCCTGAGGTAACTGTGATTAGTGAGAGAAGTCCAGTAGTCTCTGGTGAGCGCACCCGTGTTTGTCTGTCCCAACGCCTCCTCCACTTCAGCTTTCTCAACCAAGTTGTGCATTTTGGTTACTGTGGTGACTCTTGAAAGCAGTTCATACATGCAGTCTTTGGATGTGATGCGTCTCCATTGCAAACTATCCAACGTGGTCTACCTCTGGCAAGGGGGAGGAGGGTTCTCTGCATCAGCTGTGCGCTTGGTCAGCAAGTGGTATTTGAGACTTGATGTACTCCGACAGTAACTCCGTTCACATCGACAGTAAATGCAAATAACTTTGGTCTTGTTGAGGGAACCACCTGGCAGGGCTTTGAAGCTGAACTTGCCATTCAAAAGACCTTTTTATTTATTCATCTCTGCTAATTTCTTTTGCTGCATCACTTCCTGATTTCCCAAACTACGGGGCAGGCCAAGGGTCATAATCACAGAATGTGTGTGCGTTAAACGCACATCAAAAAATTTGACATTAAAAGGAATTTGCGTTAACACTGACAGCACTACTGTTAATGGTTCAGAGGAGACCTCTGATTTTCTTGTTTTTCCTTATGATTATCATGCAGAGTGATAGCTTCCCTGCGGCTATGACTTCACCTACAGAGGCAGCTCTTTAGACCTTAAAATAAAGCACAGTCAGCAAGTGTTTGGAAACCCCCAAAGCCTTTAACAGAAGCCTTTTTCTATTTTCTTTCACTGAATTGGTTCTGTCTTTGCCCGGCCACTCATACGCTCAGTCCTTCACATCAGTAAATGTCTTGGCTTTGGGTTTGGCTGTGCCATACCCACCACCATTGGACAAACAGACCCAAATGTCTGGCCTCTGACAAGGCTTTCTCACCAGTCCTTACATGCCGTCATGGGACTCTTCAACACACCAACAAATACACTCACATGCACACCTCTCCACCCCTCTAAGGAAAGAATGTGCTTGGTTGGCAGAGCAGAGCGGCAGAGGGACTCTTAAGGCCAGGTGCAGAAAGAATGATAGAGGGAGGGAGTGTGTGCAAGGGGCTATCCCATGACTTTCAAATCAGCCTCTGCCAGGCCTGTGAAACACTTCAGCTCTGGCAGTCTCTGTCCCTGTTCTCCTCCTCCCATCTTTCTTACCCCCCCTCTTTCTTTCTCCACAGGGAGTTAGACCATAACGACATCTCGGGTACAATAGAGGATACCAATGGGGCCTTCTCCGGATTGGACAACCTCAACAAACTGTGAGTGTCTGGGTTTTTTTTTTTTAATTCCCTCCACCTCTCTTTCTCCATCAGCCCATCCTTTTCATTCCTCTGTCCTGGCCTGTCACTGGGATTCCTTCTGCTGTTCTTCAAAAACAATCAGAGAAACAGGAGGGACCTTTCTCATTTTCTTACATCCAGAGGTTTCCCTCCATTTAAGGCCACAGAGTTTGAGATATCTATCCCCTCAGGACCCCACACTGACCCAATGTAATGAGAGATGATTTTAGGGTGCGTCTTCCTTTATTTTTTTAACAAGGCTTGTTTACGAAACATTGTAGGTAATTTTTTTTTACTCCATTTATCCCGTGAAAGCCCAGGCAAGCTTTTCTCCAGCTCAGCTCAGAAAGGCAGCCAGTAAAAAAGTTCCATTTCAAAAGTTGGCAAGTTGAGAAATGACAACAAATGGTGAGTTGCTGGCATTGAGCAGCAATCATCAACATGCAGAATGAAAAGATGATGTCGAGCCAAGATGGTTCCCAGTGTGGGCACAGCTGAAAGAGAAGGAACAGGAGAAAGGGGGAGATAAAGGGCTTTTCTTCAAGCTGGCAGGGGTTCATTCTCCAATAGGCTTATTTCTCCTCCATGCCTCCGCTCCTCTTGTCCCCTCATTCCCGGTTCCCATTGTTAGGAACTGAGGGAGGGTGAAATTGAGGGCTGCATTTAGTCATCAACATCAAATGCCTCACACGTCCCGCCCTCTGACCCTGCCCCCTTTGTCACGGCATTGGCGGAAGCATCCTGCTGTATCCCAATGCTGGCAAAGCAAGCCATGGGAAAGAGATGCAGAAAAGCAAGAGGAGGGGTGAGACATCAAAGTGTCCACCACACACACTGTGTTCCCTGAAAGCACCTTGTGAATGCCGCCACATGAGATGGAAGTGAGTCTTACAGCCAAGGAGAAAGAAAGGATTTTATCGGTTTTATTTATTTTTAATTTTTTGCCTTAATGCCTTAATCAAATTCTTTCTAAATAAAAGTCACAAAAAGTAACCTGCTTGTCATCTCCGTGACAAGCCAGCTGTTTTGTATGTGCATGTGGATGACTTTAAATACTAGAGTCTTGACTGGGAACCAGCCGGCTGTGTCTCCTCTTCCTCTGAAGCCAAGGTTACAGTGGGGGGTGGGGATGGGGGGGCAGTAGGGAGAAGGGATTAGGAACCTCAAATCAGGGGGAACTCTACCTCGCCTCTCAAACTGGGCTTGACAAGCACAGACACACTCACATGGTTGCAGAAGCTCTGTTGGTGAAAAGATCAACAATACACACCGCACATGTTCGCCTTGTCATTGCTGTTAAGTTCTAATGAAGATAAAAGTGACCTTTCAATAGCTGTGTAGAGCACCCACTAACCAATCCACCCATCCAATCTCCCTCACCCTTTCTTCCTGGCTAATCTCCACACAGTTCAGATTTCCAGTACCTCAATCCTCTCACTCTTATCAGATTCAGCCTTGCTAATTTTGCTTCTCTCCCTCTCTCTTTCCACCCCCTGCTCTCACTCTCTTTTCCCCTCCCTCTCTCTTCATCTATCGACACCCTTCATGTTTGGAAACGGCAGGACTCTGTTTGGAAACAAGATCAAGTCGGTGGCCAGGAAAGCCTTCTCTGGGCTGGAGACTCTGGAACACCTGTGAGTATCCCACAATGCTTGGATGCCCCTCCTCCCCGCCAGAGAGAGATTGAGACAAATTGCCAAAAGTAGCTGGCAGAGAAGAGGCTGCTAGCAATTTAATAGCATCTTTGTAAAAGGAGATGACAGAGGCCTTTGCGAACACCCTGCTGCTCCTCTCTTGTTAGCCTAGCATAACCTCAACTCTGGCCTTTTTTCCTGCCTCCTCACAAAGTTATTGGCCATATGGTAAGGTAAGAAATGGAATTCCTGTAAGCTCTTTCACAGGCCTTTGTCAAATGAGGGCAGGGAGTAATGGAAAATGTTTGTATCCTCGTACATACAACATACATACAAGCCTGGATATTTCCTCCTTGGTTAAAGAGTGAGGTCCAATGTGTAGGTAGGGCTGAAATGTGTATACAGTTGATGAGGGATGCAATGTAATGTTCCAACAGGAACCTGGGACAGAACGCTATTCATTCCATCCAGTCCGATGCCTTCAGTAAAATGAAGAACCTCAAAACTCTGTAAGTTAGAACCATTGATTTACACAAATAAACATCATTTACGTGGTGTCCACCTCACATATACAGCAGCAGTCAGCAGCAGATACACACCCACACATGCCCTGAGTGTACGATTGAAACACACAGTGCTAATGGCATCTGCACACACTTTCAGAAATGCATATTTAGCTATGGATACAAACCATGTGATATGTACCACATGTACTTATGGCCTCTCTTTCCTTTCATGTTCTCTGCTCTGCTCTACAGTCTCATTCAGAGCGACAGTTTCCTGTGTGACTGCCAGCTCCACTGGCTGCCCGACTGGTTGGTGACACGTGGTTTGCAGGCTGGTATCAATGCCACCTGTGCCCACCCGGAGAGCCTTAAGGGAGCCAGCATCTTCCAGGCTCCATCTAGCAGCTTTGTGTGTGGTGAGTTAAGTGTGTGCGCATTCTGTGTTTATGTGGGCGGCTGTGTTGAGCAAGAAGCCTCAGAGACACAGATGGGTCACACTGACAGCTTGGGGCTCTTCTGTTATTTACATACTTGCACATATTTGTTTGTGTGGTGTTTTTGCTTTAGCTCTGCATTTTCACTTGGATATACTAATGGACCCTTATGTGTGTTTTAGTTCTCTCTTTCACATCTATTTATGCATAGCAAGCAGACACCTTCTTAGGGACATTTGTGATGTTTGATATTGGACCACACATGTGATTAATGTCTTCTTAAACCCAGTTTCTTTTCTTTTTATCTCTCCTCTCCAATAATTGTGCACTCTCTGGGCTCCTTTTTTCTGTTTCTTATATCATCTGCCTCTTCTTACTTTCTTTCTTCCCTCTTTACTTTTGCCTTTCCATCGTTCTCCATCTGCAGACGACCTTCCTAAGCCCCAGATCACCGTGGAGCCAGAAACCACAGTGACAGTCCTTGGTAGGGACGTGCATCTCACCTGTACGGCTGCGAGCAGCAGCTCCTCCCCCATGACCTTTGCATGGCGCAAGGACCAAGAGCTGCTTCAGCATGCCGAGATCGAGAACTACGCCCATATGCGTGCTCATCACCATGATGCAACATCTGACACACCATCTGATGAGCCTGGTGCAGGTGGAGGTGTGATGGAATACACCACTATCCTGCACCTGCGGCAGGTCACCTTCACAGACGAAGGCCGTTATCAGTGCATTATCACCAACCACTTTGGCTCCACCTACTCCAACAAGGCCCGTCTCATCGTCAACGGTACATCATTTTTAAAGAAATTTTGGCCTGAAATTGTCCACCAGATGTTCATTTTGTCTTACTGTCCTTTTATTATTAAAAGGAAATAGGGGTTATAGTAATAATAAAAATATGATGGGGAAACATGACACTCGAGTATCTCTGTTTATACGTGTCACATCCATCAAATATGCCTGTTTACATTGTATCAGTTTCAACTGTCCCGTTTTGACAGAGGAGCAACTGAGATTAGTGGATAGGCTGAGCTCTTCTCCATCACTTGCATCATAATATCTTCTCTCTCTACCCCC